CCTTGATCAAAGAGGCCAAATGTAGAATGTATATACCACTTTTTAGGGATTTGCCGGTGAGTTTTCTTGACTCGTTTGCTTCAATTTTGTTGCGACGATGATACCCTCGATGCTCTGATGATGTTCGTCACGTGACGGACGAAAGCTTAGCACCTTTTCACCGGAATCGAAGCAGATCAAACTCTGAAACAGCGTCAGCATGAATCTTCCAGTAAAGCCAATCGACAGCTGGTCAAGAGGAATCCGCCGTCGTCTATAGCGTCAGCATGAATCTTCCAGTAAAGCCAATCGACAGCTGGTCAAGAGGAATCCGCCGTCGTCTTCTGGCACCTTTGAAACTCTTCACCCAACACTTCTACTCGAAATGGAAGTGAGCCCAACAATTATGAAACAAGAGATTCCTCGAAACCCAACTTTTCTTCGTATATGCTTTAAGATAATGTGTTAATGTGGCTGCTTTTCGTCTCATTCGACAAAGGGTGGCAGAGCCCCAAACCACCTCATTCAACAATTGTAGCCAGCTGAGCACAAGACAGAAACTGGGTATGGGGTTGAATGGTCTCAACTCATCATGATATGATATACACCATATGTAACAAATCATTTAGGGATGGGACGGTGAGTTTTCTTGATTCGTTAGTTTGTATTTGGTTGTAACGATGATTACTTGCTCTGGTGATGTTCGTCACGCCGGAATCGACATGAAGGTTCGGGTAAAGCCAATCGGCAACTGGTGGAATCGGTCTTCGAGTCCCTTCACCAAACACTTTCACTCGAAATGGGAGTAAGCACATGAAGCATGAAAGGAGAGATTGTTCGTAGCCCAACTTTTCTTCGCATTAGTTGGGATAGCAATGAAGAAGCAAAAAGGTGACCTGCACACGATCCGACCAGGTCGCTCAAGGCGATTTAAAGTATTTCCGGTACCAGACTTGACCACAAGTTCGGCCTCCACTCGCCGTCGCCCATTGGCACCCACAAGACAGAGTCATTCGGGAGCAGCCTGGCAGACCGTGCAGGTGACAAAATGCCCTCGAATCGTCACACTTTGTGCCAGTTGTCGCCCGTTGCCACTTTACACGCACCAGCTAGGCTCGACTCCCGTTGGTCCACCTGCCTCGAGGTCGTCCTTACGGTACAGCCAAGTTTAGAGGCCAACTGGACTACGGCCCAACCAAATGCCATGCCAGATTGACCTTCATATCCACAATCAAATTGGGTTTATGGTACCATCGAGAGATGGTCAAACCGAAGTGAGAACGGGGCTACAGGTCATGGTGGAGGGAAAAGTGGCTACAGAACGCGCGGAAGAGAGCAGCAATGGGGACAAGGCAAGTGTTCTCTTCCATTCCCGCTGGGCCATCGAAAGAAGATGAAAAGAAACGGACTTCCCAAGAATGCCCCAATAGATTCTTGCTTAACAACCGAGACAACCCAGGTTGTCTACGCTGATCGAAGTGCCAAGGGTTGAGTTTTCCCAACGTCGCGAGATGAGTAGACCTCGCGACCCTATACAATGTTTCCCAGCCTCGCTCCCAAAAGGCTTTACTTCTCCAAACTGGACTGCAATTTCCACCTCATCTGAACCGACCTCATCACCATCCTTGGCGGGATTCAAGCCCGGGTCGTGAGTATCGTGGCCTCGTGACTAGTCCACCAGACTGCAACGCATGCCAGTGGTTCTACGGGCAGATGTGACATTCAAAGCAACCCACGCTTCTCAAAAATCCTCTTTTGTAGTTGGATTACCGAGTAAGCAGACAATGTTAGTTAATTTCGATATTAGTACCTTTCGAGGCTATCAGTAATTATTTAATATCAACTTAATCAGGTTTAATCGAAGGTATAAAGACCAAGATGGTGTGTGAAATACATGTACCAGGGAGATAGCAGACGGATTCGACGGGGCAAGAGGGAGACTTTGATAGGACCCAGGCAAGGACTACGTAACAAATTGACAGACTCTGATCAACATTCCCAGCACAAGGGTCAAGGGGGTGATAACGACAGTGTGGAGTGTGAATGGTTTTCAT